CATTTTTGTTGCCCTCCGCTGGACTCTTTCCAATTTTTCCACATCCTTCTTGTAGTGTGGGGCCCAACTGAGGTCCCTTCCAGTCCTACATTTCTATTATTCTATCTGGTGATTTTTTTATAGATTACATCAGCAGTTCTCAAACTGTGGGTCGGGACCCCAAAGAGGGTCATGACCCCATTTTAATGAGGTTGCCAGGGCTGGCATTAGACTTATTGGGGCCCGGAGCCGGGAGTGAAGCCCGAGCCCCATCACCTGGGGAGAAAGCTGAAGACCGAGCTCCACCACCCAGGGCCAAAGCCAAAGCCCAAGGGCTTCAGCCTGGGCTGGCGGGGCTCAGATTACAGGCCTCCCAACTGGGGCTGAAGCCGATGGGCTTTGGCCTCTGCACCAGGAACAGCAGGGCCTGGACGGGCTCAGGCTTCGGTTCCTCCTCCTGGGGTCATGTAGCACTTTTTGTTGTCAGAAGGGGGTTGCGGTGCAATGAAGTTTGAGAACCCCTGGATTATGTGAACCCAGCTGGTGGTCACAGCTCCATTTCAATTTGAAAAGTGCCCTTGTCCTGAAAGTCAGCTCACTAGCTGGGGACCTTCAGCAGAGAGATTAGAATTGAAATGGGATTGAGACAGATCTGCCCTTCCATCCCTAGAAGTGATCCAGCCAAGTCAGAGTTGACAAGTGTCACAGGGCAGCTTGAGGGAAGCTTGTGCTGCCACAGCCTGTGCTGTACCTGCTCTGGGGATGTGCAGAGCGAAGTTTCCAGGGATGTAAATCTGACATCTTTGGTAGGGCTAAATTCACTTACAAAAAAATCCAAACCAAATCAAACACCTAACCTTCAATTCATGAGTTTAAGATTATGGTCAAAGGTAAATAAATCACATGCTTATAATAAATTTTAGCATTAAAATTATATGACCCTTAAAGTCTAGCAGAGTGGTATCCCTGAAGCCCAGCAATATTTCATACACATCAAGTACATGAACTACCTAAAATGTTCCATCTGCTGGTTTGAAACAAGAGACAGGTACACCTGCTACCTCATATTTTCAAACACAAACATCTCCTCAGACATTATATTCAAATTACAGCCTAAAATTAAGAGGCAAGCCGCTCTGCACAAGTAGCCAGCAAGCAAGAAAAAGCCACATTTTAGGATATTTATGGGTTATTTTAACTAGATCATGAGCAGTTCATCTTTTCTGTAAAACCGCATTGTTATTGCTGCAGCTCTTAGATTTGTTGTAACATAATGAAAATAGTCTGTCTTTCCTACCATGCCACCTCATTTACATAGGAAACTTTTTGCTAGCAAAACACCCTGTTTGCCACAGGGTGGGTTAAAACACAGAAGAGTTCTAGCAATACTTAGTTGGAAAGAGCAAGTGACTTGTATTATTCTTCCAGCCTGCTCTCACTGTGCATTACCAGCCCTGTGTTGCTAACTATAGCACCCGAAGAAATCCACGTGAGAAAGCCTGTCAGTGCAAACAACAAAACAATGTTGTCTCTAGGATAGACGTGTCCATGCCTCAAGTACATGTAAAAGAAAAACAGCCCCCTCCAATCTCTCTGAAAGGTTTCTTTGTAGTAATAACAAACACGAGACTGGATCTGCGGGCACAGAAGTGACCATTAATGCATGGGTCTGTGCAGCAGCTCGAAGAGGTTGTTTCTTAGCAACACAGGGAGCAGGGAGCTTTGCCATCCACAGTTCGGTCGTGCTAATAAAACAGACCTGACCAGCTTGAAAAAAAAGGGGGGGGCATTTTAAAATGTATCTCCCCCCGTCCCCCGAAACCGCTGGTGAAAAGGCGAAACTCGCTCCCTGCAGGGACCCACACTCTCGCCCACGTAACTGAGCCGAAGGGGGGACACTCATCCCTCCCCACTCCCGGGTCAGTGGGGTTTGGAGCCCAGAGGAGACTGATGTTATTGCCCCCGGGAGCGATGCCCAGCCGGGGGCCTGTCTAGCCACCTGCTGCCCCCTGCACTATCCCGCCGCTGTCCAGGCTGGGGGCTGAGCCCACAGCCCCTGGGGACCCGCCCGGGTCCCAGCCCAGAGCCTGCGCCACACGCCCCTCCAGCCACCACAGCCAGGCCGGCCCCCGCGCTGGCGGGCGCCCCCCCCAGAACAGCCGCGTCGCCACGGGGCCGCCCGCCCCCTCCGGCTCCAGCGGCCTAGGCCGGCCCCGGCGCCCCCCTCCCGCCGGGACGAGGGGCCCCCGCGCGCAGCAGCGCCTGCCCTGGGAGGCGGCTCCTTCCCCCCACGCACCGGCTGCGGCCCCAGCGCTCGCTCGGCTGCTGCTGCTGCTCTCCCCGGCTACCAGGAGCGGGCTGCCGACCTGCCCGCTTCCCTCTCGCATAATCCCCGGCGAGGGCGGGCAGGGCAGCGGGGCTCCGCGGTGCCGCTGGCCAGGGGGGAGCTGCCGCGGCAATCCCCGGGCTCCCGGCGCGGCTGGGCGGCTGCCTGGCAGGTCTCTTGCCGCGGCTGTGGCGGGAGGAGGGGCGGCCCGGCTCTCCCTCTGCCCCTCGGCAGCGACACGGACCCGGCTGGCAGCCTCCTCTCCCGGCGCGAGCCTTGCCCACTGCTGCAGAGCGCGGCCACTTCCTTCCCCGGCTCGCAGGCATTCCCTCACTCTCGGCACCGGGAGCACCAGGGGACAGCCAGGCGGGGTGCGCCCCCCTCCGGCCGCGGCGGGGTACAACAGCTCCGGCCGGGCAGGGGCCACCTGGGAGCTGCACCCCCGGGCTCTGAGCTGCTGAGGGTGGCAGGGGCTCGGGTGAGGCTGGCGAGAAAACCCCAGCACCGGCTCACTGGTGCTTTACAGAGGTGGGGCGAGAGGCTGGGAAATCTCCCCCTTCCAAACTAGCTGTTCCCTGGGACTAAACTCCAGAACTTTCCGGGCCCCAGCCACAGGGGATGAAGGCAGGTGCAACGGTATAGGGTTAGCCTAAGGACTAATAATACACTTAGATTGCACTCTTCAGGGCTAGATCTCTACCTGCGTTACAAAGCGAGGGAAGTCAGCATCTTTATGCCCATTTCTCGGATGCAAAACTGAGGTATCCAGAAGTCAACTGACTTCCCCAATGGGGCACAGTGAGTTAATGGCAGAGTCTGGAATGGATCCCACCTCGCCTAAATCTCAGATCCATAAATGGAAGTTTGTCTTGCACAGTGTACACACAATAGCCCTGTTTCTTATGGCACATCGGTACAGGGAGTACCTCATGCTAATAATGCCAGTGCGTTTGGGGATTTAGGAAACACCTTTACCATAGTCCTATTGCTATGGTCATTGCTGGGATCAATGGCTTTAGGGCCATATCCCAGTGCAAGGCAGAGTGCATTGAGGGCTGGATGTAGGGAAAGTAGCTGCCAGGCTTGGAACTTCTCATCCACACTAAAAAGAAACCAAGTCAGCTGGATTCAAGTGAAAGACCTCAGCTCATGCATTGCAACCCCCAGCTAGCACAACAAATATTGGTAAAACTCCTCAGATGACTGCTGGGTGTGGGTGCAAGGCACCAGTCATCATCACCATCTCAAAATATGAAGATAGGGCTTCACTAAGCCATATGATCTCTGTCTCAAAATGTTCATTCACTTCTTAGGCCAGGAAAGATCCCCCATTACCCCTTGATAGATATAATGCAACATGTTAATTACTTGAGTCTGCATCTAGGAGACCTGTGTGTGGCTTTTCTAGAATTTCACAAATCAATGTTTTAAGTCTGGTTTGACAATGCTTGCCTATATCATCTGCATGCTAATTTCCATCCCATGATAATGGGGCTTAAAATTAACTTAACATTAACAAGCAACTGATAAGCTGCATCCTATAAGCTCTCCTTTACTGATTTTTCTTTCACATTACCTTTTCATCACATGCGAGGGTTGGAACTTAATGGCCAGAATTAGGAAGCCTAACATTTTCATTTAATTTGACCTCCCACCAGATCCGCTCTCCTTTAAATTCTCAGCACCCCAGCCCTGTTACAATTTCAACACAGTGATTGATTCTGAGATACATAGCAAGACTAGAGCAGCACTGACTACTCTTACAGCTTTGCTCACTAACAAGATTGGATAAAAGCAACAACAACAAAAAATACAGTGATCTATAGTGGTTTGAAGCCGAAGTAACCAGATTCCTTACATATTTTAAAAATTACATCATTAGTTATTGTGTATTTAAAATATATCATGTGAGTACTTCTATCACACAACTATACAACACTGTCTACCAATTTGCAGAGCTCCGAGACACACATTGAATTACATATAAAGTCATTAGCCTTATCCACATAATTGCACTATCAACACACTGAACTTTATGTATCAGAGGGGTAGCCGTGTTAGTCTGAATCTGTAAAAAGCAACAGAGGGTCCTGTGGCACCTTTGAGACTTAACAGAAGTACTGGGAGCATAAGCTTTCTGGGTGCATCTGAAGAAGTGAGGTTCTTACCCACGAAAGCTTATGCTCCCAGTACTTCTGTTAGTCTCAAAGGTGCCACAGGACCCTCTGTTGCTTTTTACACTGAACTTTCTTCTTTATCTGCAGCATGTTCAGGATCTTTGTTCGCACTGTCAAAGCCTTACACATATCTCACCACTGCCCTATTATCCTCCATTTTCATTCCCTATTAACATTCCTATCCTCTCTCCTTACTGCTCCTTTCAGCTTTTCCACTAAATTCCCAAAATTGGCCTCCTACCCAAATGTAGTATCTCCCAATTCTTGTCCAGTGCCCTTCATCTCCTCCTTAAAACCCATTCCTCCAAACCTCGCCTCCAATGAGCTCATCTGCTGCTGTCTTATGCCCCAACTCTTGTTTCTCTGTTAGATTATAAATACTTTAAAGCAGGGACCTTGTCTCTTTATTTGCTTTGCAAAGTTCCTGTCCACAGTTACACTATACACTGCTATATAAATAACTGAAACCAGCTAAGTGCAACATACTTAAGGAAGTACTACTGAAGTAACAAAACTCCCCATCTGAGGGTCAGGAAATGAGATAAACAATTTTATACAACTCCGGACCTGTTGCCTTTGTTTTAAATGTTTGTTCCTGTTTATTTTTCAGCACATCTCAGTGATTTAGTTCATAGAATAATCTTAACTATACTTATCAGAGCAGGGATGTTGGTCAGTCAGTTGGTCTGGAGATAACTTAACTGATCTGCCTCTCTCTTCACTTTACCATAATGCTGTAATTTGGGCAACAAATTAAAGCAGGATCCAGCAATGGAAGAGATTTACACTGCAGAGCTGTCTACGAGAAAACTCACAGAAAAGACTGACACACACAAAAGTGGTGATTCCTAGTTAATTTCCTATCCTCCGATGCATAGAAGTGCCGTAGGAATTGGGAGGAATTGCAAAGGGAAAAGGGCATACTTGGAAAGAGCATAAATATGTTCGAGCCTGTTCAAAATATAATTTGGCCCTCAGCACAGAATGAGATTTAAATCTGTGTTAAAGGAAAGCCATTTTAAAATTGTACATTTAAAAATCCAATGTAAAGGAACACCATTCAGAAATGTCAGCTGCAATAACAGATACAGTTTCAAAAGCAGCCACTGATTTTGGGTGCGCCTATTTCTTGGTTCCCTGCTTACGACACCGTTGGCCTGATTGTCAGAAGTGCTCAACATCTAGATTTCCCACTGACTTAATTTGGAGATGCAGGTTCTCAGCACTTCTGAAAATCAGGTATGAGGTGTCTTAAGTAGGACACCCAAAATCAGTGATATTTTGAAAATGTTGGACCAACACTTAGTTTTTCTCAGCAGTATGAGAACACAAACAGAAATAGCTCAGAAAGCCTGAGCTAATGGGAGGTTACTTTCAGACAGAAATCATATAAACTCACTTTAATGATTCTTCTTTCCGGATGTCAACAAATGACCGTAATAAAAAGGGAACGGCACCAAAGAGGGTAGGATGGAGGTAAATTTAGGTCTAAAATGAAGGGTAGTGGAGCGATAATGGAATAGCTGAAAGTGGAAACCAGTAAGTATATCAATTATCCAAGGAAAATTGGTTCTTCTGATAACGGAGGGAAGAGAACAGATTTGTAAACAAGAAAAAGCACTTAAGACAATGTGAAGACTGAAGCCCTGTTTTAATTCCCAAGCGTAAACTTATCCAGTAATGGACTGCTTGCGAGAAACCCTCCAGGCTGAATTATACATTTGAAGGCATTAGAGCAAGCACCCTATGATAATTCAAAATCGTTGCAACACCATTCCTTGTGAGTGGCATTGCAGCTGGTTGGAGGATGGGATTCTTATTCTCTTTAGGTATTTTGAATCCAATCTACAAATCAGAATATAAAATGCCCAGAAGACTAGTCTTAGTCTATGTTAAATCAGAGGGAGAATATTCCACCACCTGAGCTCCCCCTCACTGACATATTCAGTCCCCCTTCCAATCTTCCATTGGCAAAGTTAAGGCTGCAGAGTGTGAGAGAGAGAGAGAGAGTGTGTGTGTGCGCGCGCAGGAACAAATAGGGAAGGTTCTTTAGAGAACTAGGTTTTAAAGCATTCAGTAATGTTAGAATCAAACTTGCACAAGCTGCCTTTATGCCAGTGACCCTGCCCTTTCTGTTGCAAAGTAATCATATTGTTGATATCTTTAACCATGACAGAATTTGAAACAGATGATATGGTTAAAACCTAGATTATCACTGGGTAATATCCCTAAACCTAGTATTATTCTTGGGCAGCAGAAAATAATCTAATTAAATGTTTAATATTAAAATACAAAACTGAAATATTAGGTATACACCTTTGTAATTCAGTAATGTCCCACGTAAGAAATACATATTATTCACCACAACAAAATTTGTAAGTGTAAAAGGCTGATTTTATTTTTTAATGTGTGATGGGCGGGTCATGGCAAGACAATAAGTGGACAACCACGTCAGTGACTGGATCCCCAGAGACCACAAGCAATCGCCAGGCAGACTGAAAATGCGCTGGGCCGATCCCATGACAAAACTCTTTGGCCAGAAATGAAAAGAATGAGCTTGCAACAAAAAGGAATTGTGTGGCATCAACTTGCATTTGTGGAGGGATGGACGAGGACAAGCCCAGACAAAGGCAACAAAGGTGAACATAACTGTGATTGGAATGGGGACAGCATGATGGTTAGTGTCTGGCATATTAAAAAAAAACAACAACTGTTGTTAGGTTTTCCAAGTCTTGGAGTGTCATGGGGAGATGGGATGTGTGCTAGCACTCACTGTGATCAGAACTTTACAAACTAGAGCTTTGAGAAATAGCAAAACAGTGCTAGAAATGATCTGCTAATATAGGCCCAATGGCAATCAAGCGAGCAAAAAACATCACAATCTACAGTCATCCAGACATAATGCAAGTATTGCTTCTAGTTGCTAAAATGTATAAAGAAAGCACTCGTTACAAAACTACTGAAGCAAAATCTCAGACTGGAATGATAAATTATATATAAACCCCTAAAAGCCAAAGTGAAACAGAACTCAACCCTCTTTCACTCATATACAATGTACTTCCTGAAGCATAGTACAGAATGCATTTCTGTGTCAAGTATTATTGTCCAAGAGTCATTATACATCCCTTCATTGTGTGCAATTCTCCTTTGTGTGTGT